ATACTACCAGGCGGGCTGGGAATTTCAGAGTCCCCTAATCCAGTGCCCCTTTCGTGGATGTACACTTTGTAGCCCTGTGTATATTTTGGATAGAAGTATCGCTCAGGTCGGTTCTTCAGCAGAAGGTACAGTCCTCCTGTAGATCCCTGAATATCACTCAAGATCGGCATATTATTGTCATTATTGAGTGTATAGCAGAGATTGTTGTCCTTTGTGGTTTTCTTATAGAGTGTTGTATTTGTGCAATCTTTAAAGCCCAGTCCATGTATGCAGAATTTCAGCACTTCTTCCCAAGATTCACCAAACGTGTAAATAAACTCCAACAAGTCAAAAGTAACATTCGACTTAATCAAAGCTTGTGTGATAATATACTGGTATTCTGGAGTACAGTTATCAAGCATTACACTGGTATCGTATGTCATGGGTACAAAAGCACACACCAAGGCGTGTCCACACGGTGCGCCTGCTCGTACGTCAGCGGTAGCTGCACATGCGCTGATGTTCAGATTGTATTTATGAAATGAGTGGCTGTTATCATTTGCGTATATTTTTTCTCTGTCAGCGAGGGTGTCCGAGCAGATTGTAATGGCTGGAAATGGGAGTGTAGGGTGCATGCCATCCTCTACGTCGACAGTGATGGGGTATTGAAAATATCGCTTAAAGCTGTTTACAGCGGAATAAGTAAAATAGGACGTCGCCCCCAGTATTAGGACCAGCCACACGAGTTTCAGAACGAGGTTTTCGCTTGTAAATACGTTTCGCAACCCATGGAGAGTGGAATTTTCGTAGAAATCTTTCCAGATGGTGGATTTCTTTTTCACTAGACCTCGAGACGATCTTTCTGATATCTCGGTCATGGTTGTCTGTCTAGAAAACATTAACTGATCTGATTGATTTCCTTGACAAAAATGTCAAGATTTATATAATCAGAATTGTGAACAACTTAATTGAGAAGCTAGTAGTGAAGAGAGAAAAGCGAAACTCGAGCCGCGCAATGCATGCTAATGAAGAACCAATCAAATTGTCTCCCTCACCCCTACCCCCTACCTAATTCCCCCTCATTGTCCTCCCTCACCCCTACCACTACCTAATTCCCCCTCATTGTCCTCCCTCACCCCTACCACTACCTCCTACTGCTATTGAATGCGATTTAACTATCGCAGCCTTTTCGTGTCAACATAAGTTGGTGATTCTGATGTAATTCATATGTATTTCGACATAAAAAAAATACAAAACATCTGCTATGGCATTGTAGTGACTGTCATCAAAAAATGTCTCGATTATTAAAGTCGCAATTCTGTTGGTACTTCTTTAAGCGAATGGATGTCCTCCAAGAATATCTGATATCTTTAATCTTTATGTAAGGTTTTTCTTCAATCCCATGTAATACCCTCTTCTTACTCGATAAATATCCAATGATATTATTCCATAATAAATCGATTGCCTGRCGTTTAGCTTTTCCGGGACACACCGTCAGGCAATCGAAAAATCTCARGTTTYCATGYTTATGTATGCAACCATGTCGAACAGTATTATTTCGGTCTTTATTCTCTTGTTCTATTGATTGAAAATATGGTTATTTCGACGATTTTTTTWWAAAAATCGATTGCCTGTCGTTTAGTTCTGGGGTTAACTGCAAAATCTCGGCTCTGTTTGTTATACATAGYGCGTTTTTGCTTGCGCAAGTTAYATGAAACACTTACCAAAATCTGGCCACACTATTAGTCCTCCATGAAATATCGTGGGTATTAAATTTGTTTGTTGTTTCTGAACTCTTGTGATTACGACGCACTGATCCAAACTGAACCAATTTTAGGTTTTCTTGCGTAGAAACCTCATTCCCACTATCATAGAATTAATGGTTATCTATTGAACAGATGTTCTGTCGCCAACTGAGACAGCATTGTTTTTCTTGTTAAACTGAAAAATTGCAATCAGCACTATTCGTTAACTTTTCTGACATTATTTTCCGTTATATTATAAAGTGAGTCCCCTGCAGTTTAGTGAATAGTCTTGAATTAAATTGCTCATGTARTGAAAGTAATCGAGAACTGTTTTTGACTACAAAAGTTATGATTTTTTTACTAATGATCAGCTTAGAACKTTTATTAGGTATTTATAATTTTTTTCATGGAAAATCTCTTATCGCTTATTGATTTTTTGACCATCACCCATGAGATAGTAAGTAGAGTCCCAATGTTATCTGGTTACGTGTTTCTTCGTGTTTGTCATCAGGCAGTGCAGTGCTAAGATCTTCCTTTCTGAACGATKTTTGGGGCAAACCCTTTTACAGGGCCGTAACCAGAACTTCTACTGGGAGAGTGCACATCTGATAGAACTTTGTTTTTAARAATTCATCTATGAAATGAAAATACACCGAACAATGAAACTTACTCCCGGGTGGTTTAAAATTGGTTGGAAACGTTTATAGCAACGCGTTAGTCGATTAGGTCTATTAAACGGTTATTATCATAAACACTGTTTCCGTGGCAACATTACACTCATACGATTTATATGAGATATCGGCATTTCAAAACWACACTGAAATATATAAAACATTCGTGAAGTTGGGTCAAAATTTTAGGAAGTATAAGTATKCGGTCAGAATTTCTTCAATGGACTGTAAATAGTTTTCAGTTTGTACATGTGAAAGGAGTAACCCAGGTCAATGCAATAGATACACCAGCTCTTGTAGATACCTATTCGTTATGTCTTGGTTGGACGACGTCAAAGGATGCGCGTGTGATTTTTTATTTCGAGGGATGTTTGAT